CCCTTCTTCTAGGTCCCCTTTGGCTTCCATGGAGACACCCGCCCTCCTTCATTGAAACGCTGCCCACAGCCCTGACGCTCTGTCTGGCCACATATTCAATCAGATTCCACCTTCTGCAGTTTCCAAGGCAACCGACCTAGCCTTGGAAACAAGCTGCATTTATAAAGGGATCACCCCCACCCTGTAACATTTTCAGTTTTTACAATAACATTTCTTTGCTTAAAGCTGAGCAAACAGAAAATAGATTCTGTGTGGTAAGATAATGAAATTGTCTCTCCAGAATTTCTTGCATATCTTGAAACCAAAATGTTTCATGAATTTCCTTGAAGATGATCCACAGAACAGATGCACTTTGTTTCATTTCCCTTGCTATTTATTTGCTTAGCTGCTATCTTCAAATACAGAGCACCAAAATGGATGTGTAAAGTCCACCATCAGCTTCTTCTTCATCAGTCAAAACTGAGACCTGACTCCTGCCTTTCTCAGTTGGAAAGTCACCAAATGTGGCTTCTGATTTAGGTTGTGAAAACATTTAGGCAGCAGTCTTGGTAGAAGACTTATCTGACCTGGAAGTCCCATTGAACTCAGTGGGATTTATGTCTGAATAGACCAGGGCCATCCCTGGCCATTTTGCTGCCTGAAGGAAAGGTCAAGATGCCCCTTCTGCACTCCCAATGTCATGAACATACTCAAGCTGGACTGGCCACTGAGTCTCACCATACTGGCATTAAGACAGTGTTTTCCACTGCACATGAAGACCGTGCAGAGAATCCAAGGGCTCTGTTCTCCACGGAAGGGGAATGAATGTGTGAAGGCTCAGGAGATGTGGTTGTGAGGCCACCATTGCTTCCCCTTATCATTTGTCACCTGAGGCAGCTAACTCACTTCCAGAATGGCACCATTAGAGCATAGTCCCTTCAGTACAATTCCTTAGAAACCCTTACAATAGGGGTACAGAGCCTATGGCCCTCCAAGTGCTGTTGGATTCTCGCTCCATCAGCCCCAGCCAGCATTGGCAATGATCAGGGATGATGGAAGCTATGATCCAACAACATCTGGAAAGTACAGATAACTCAATCCTGTCTTTCAACATTGGTGTAATGTTAACCAGTGGTATTCCTTTACTATTCCATTGCAAATTAGCAATGAGGGATAAAAGCTGTTGAGGCCACCACAGGGGTTCTGGACAGAGGTGATATCTGTACTGAGGGACTTCTCTGTTCAGAGCTTGTTATGTTGGCTAGAACACTATACTAGCTCTCCAATGAAGTTAAAAAGGCATTGGTTCTAGTGGGAGAGAATTTATTGGCCTGAAGTGCCTAATCTTGGAACCTAAGCAGGGTCAGGCCTGCTTGAAATCTGGATGGGTGACTTACAGTGTTGTGAACTGCACAGAGAGCTTCAGCTATGGGCAGTATAGGAATGTCATGTAGTAGTAGTAGTAGTAGTAGTAGTAGTAAAAGTTTAAGGCCATAAAAAGAGCCCTGCTGGACCAGACCAAGAGTCCTTCTAGTCCCATGTTCTGGTCACACAGTGGCCATCCAGCTCTCCATGGGAAACCCACAAGCAAAACATCTGTGCAACTGATCCATTTGACTCTCATCATCTGGAAAGGCCCTCCAAGTGATGCCATGTGCTCCTGAGATCCACTTGACATTTGTTCAGAGCAGAGCATTTGGGGTGGTGGCACCCACTGTGGTGAAATGGGAAGCTGTGGCTTTTAGGAAATCTTCACAGATCATGTCCATTGCTGGGCTTAATGCAGGAATGGTAGAACCACATTGTGATTGGGCTAAGCTAAACACAGTCTATGAGGCCCCAAGGAAAGTTATGGCTGTTGGAAGCTGGGGATTGGGAAATATCTTTGTGTGTGCCAGTTAATTGGGTCTGAAGGAACACAAAATGTGGCTACTGTTACTTAACAAAAAAAAAATCCATTTATCTAGTGTTGCTTAGTGGAGATCAAAACTGGACTCGGCTGCTTATGCAACAGCAACAGAATTGTCTAGGTATTCTTGGGGATGCCAGGTAAAAGAAAAGCCCCTTCCATAGGTTGGACCATCATACCCACTATGTGAAATAATCCTCTCTTAGTCATGCAGCGACATCTTATTTTTAGGTGCAGATTGAAGGTACATCTATTTATGAAAACCTTCCTGGTATCATTTAAGCTACCATATCTTTTATTGGTATGGATTGGTATGTGGTGTAAGGACAGCTTCTGGAAAAAGGAATGGGAGGCTAGAACTGCAGCTGTTATCAACTCTTATCCTATTCAGATTACTCAGAAACAAACCTTACTGACATGACTGGGCAAGTTCCTAGAACCCACCACCACACCCCTTTATTTCCTTACTTAAGTAGGATTTTATTTAATTGCACTTACAGCCTCCATTTGAAATCCATACCTTTTATTTTATAGTGCAGGGGAGGGCTTAACATAAACAGCTTTTATTTTAACCACCTGCTTTTAAGTGGTTAAAATTCAGAACTTAATTCTGAACTAAGAAGTGTTCTAGATAACTTTCAAGCTGGTTCCTTTGTTATCACAATTTGATTATTCCCTGTAACAAGTTAACTTATTGTGATGCCACATGTCAGGGCTGCCTTTGTTTTTGAAAATTCCTCTCTACTCCTACTCAAAACAATGCAGATTGAAGTAGATGGGGTATCTTCTATGTAGTGCCCTGTTTTCCCAGCAAGGCTGCTGGCTTTCTCCTTTGTTGTCAGAGTGGTCGATTTTTCTTACTAGGCATTTTCTGGCACTGCTGGCCAAGCAGTTCCTCTGGGATATTTTGGGCTGGGCATATTTTCTTTCCCTTTTGGTAGTGTCCCTTCCTGTCAATGCACTTCTAGGCTTGATATTCCTTTTGTCACCTTCCTTGCCTAAATGCAGGCAGTTGTGGGGAGCTCCTGCTAAGGATCTGTACAGCCCATGCATTTGCAGAGTTCCATTCCTCCTGCTTCTTCTTCGAGAAGAGTAGATAAATTGGAACAGATGCCCATTCATGTTTGTATCTCCCTTATTCTGAATTGGTGCTCGGAATCCTGTGGTAATAGAGGGACCGCAAGGAGATCAAACTGGTCAGTCCTAGAGGAGATCAACCCTGACTGCTCTTTAGAAGGCCAGATCCTGAAGATGAAACTCAAATACTTTGGCCACCTAATGAGAACGAAGGACTCCCTGGAGAAGAGCCTAATGCTGGGAACAATAGATGGCAAAAGAAGAAGGGGACAGCAGAGAATGAGGTGGCTAGATGGAGTCACTGAGGCAGTTGGTGTGAGCTTAAGTGGACTCTGGGGGATGATGGAGGACAGGAAGGCCTGGAGGAATGTTGTCCAAAGGGTCGCAATGGGTCAGACATGACTTTGCTACTAGCAAAACCTCCCATTTTTCATTGAGGAGACAGCTTCATCACAGGGATTAACCTAGGGAACAATACAGGTCTGGATTAGGATTGTCTAGCGCAGGGGTCGGCAACCTTTAACACTCAAAGAGCCATTTGGACCTGTTTCCCACAGAAAACACCAGGAGACACAAAACTCTTTTGACCTCTAAAATGAAAATAATACTGCATATATCATTTTTTACCTTTATGCTATTTATAAAAAAACTGTAGTGTGTTGCATTTATGAAACAGATCGGGGGCTGTGCCGTGCTGGCGTGGGTCGCAGTTCAGGGAGGGCTGTGACGCGTATTTTGAGCGACGGAGCCGCAGCAGAGGGATTCAAGAGCTATGTGTGGCGCCGGACCTGCGGGTTGCCGACCCCTGGTCTAGGGAATGCTGGGAATTATATGCCTTTTTTCTGCCTAAACCTGCAGAGGACTCCTGCTTTAAATGGTTTAGGGTGAAATCCTACACAGGTTTCAAAGGCCTACAACTCCCACACACAAGGAGCTGTAGTCCTTTTTAAAAAAACTGTATATAAAGCTTTAATCTTTTATTAGAGTAATAAACACAGTTGATGCTTAGAGCCTCTTGGCTGCATGCAGCCTCCTTCACAGCGACTGCCAAGTTCTTCTTTCCACGTTGCCTCTAGGACAGCCTTCCCCAGACTTCTAGACATGTTAGGACTGCAACACCCAGAATTCCCATTCAACGGCCCTGCTGCTTGGGAATTCTGGGAGTTGCAGTCCAAATGCCTCCGAAGGCCCTTTCTTACAGAGAATTACAAATATTAGCCCAATCATTCTAATGAGACAGTCACCTTGCGTGTCATTAGCTGTCCAGATAAGAATCTAGTTGTTATATCCATCTTCATGCCACCAAGTCCACCTGTACCTCTACAGTGCTGGATCAAGAGCACCCCCAAAGCTACAATCCTGATCCTTTAAGCCCCTCCAGAAAAGGCTGAACATCACTTGGTCGGGCAGGCTGAGCACCCACCAAAAGCACCTCAGACTTGTCTGGACTGAGTCTAGGTTTCTTCTCTGAATTCTAGTAGCATCTCTTACAGTATTGCCCTATGCAGGCCTAGGGTGCCACTGAATTAAAACGGAAGTTATTTTTACACACAGTCCTGTACTGGCTTGCAGTGAGGATTACAAAGAAAGAGTGAGAAGGCCGTGGGTTAGGTCGAGTTCCCGTAGTCACAAAATGCTGCTGCAGAACACCCGGCGGGAAAATTTACTCCAGTCTGAGTAAAATTCTAAACTCCAACCCTGAAGGCCCGCCTTAACCAGCCTGGCGTTTTCCACAAGTTTTGGACTACCACGTCCGTCACACCCAGGCGGCAGGATAACTGGCCCTAGCGGCCGGCGATGATGGGAATTGTAGTCCAATACACGCACGTGGCGACGTCCCCGAAGTATCATAGCAGAGCGTGGCAAAAGGCAAGAAGAAAGACCCGGAGGCCCCCCCTAAGACGCCATTCGCGGGCGATGTCCAGAAAGGAGGCGCGGGCGGAGGCAAACTGAAAGTGAAAAGCCGCCGCGGCGCTCGGGGATCGCTTGCTCCTGCCTGCTCCAGCCCGTGGCCCGGCGGCAGGAGGCTGAATCGCGGCGATGGAGGCGCAGGGCGGGGACGGCGCCGAGCGGCTCTCGACTCCCGCCATGCCGGCCGAGCGGGCTCGCATCTCGCTGCACAATTTCCACGGCCGCCTGGCCGAGCAGCTGGTGCACTTCCACGCCATGCGCCTGAAGGACTCGCTCTTCCTTTGGATCGGGGACGCACCCCAGTTCGGCAACCTGGCCGTGGCCATGTGCACCCCCCGCGTGAGTTGCGCCTTTACGCGGAATGCAGCGCAGCGCAGCGGTTTCAGCGGGGCCGCCCCCCAGGGAAGTAGGCGTAGGATCGCGGGCATGAGAGCAACAATGCTTTGGATGAGCCCGCTTTCCGGGGACCTGAAGGCTGGGAGACCACCCCTGGCCTAGGATGCCTGTTCCCCTGCAGGGCCTTTTTAAAAGCTCCGCCTGGCGTCGCTTTCTTTTGCAGGGTTGACGATCATTACTCACAGCGCCACTCCGCTGCAGGAAGCCCTTGCTAGTTTCTGGGCGAAATGACTTGCACGGTTCTTCTGAGAGATGCTGGTGTCAGGGTAAAACCAGAGGATACCTTTCTTGCTTCCTTCTAGCCCGTAGGTAGGGAACCTCAAGGCACCAGCCCGACCTTCAGTCTTCCCCAAGTGGCCACACTCCATTTCCCCAACCCCAAATCATTTGATGGCTTCCCTGCTTTTCTGGACCCCCACACCCCTTAAAAAAAAAAAAAAAAAGAGGAAAGGAAAGGTGCTACTGAGGCTTAGTGGCTGGCAATGTGAGCCAGTATCCTGGGGATTTGGATGGTGGTGTTTTGGGGCCAGCTGTTTTGCTTTTGGACCCACCCACCTCTGGACGTGCCCCCCCCCCCCCATGTTCTCTGCTTTCAACCTTTGGGCTGAAAGAGGTTTCCCATCCCTGCTTTAACAAAGAGCCATTTCTTCCTCTTGTTGGGGCTGACCAAATATGAGAACAAGAGCTGCAGAGAGAGCTTCCACAATATTTTCACATAATGTGATAGTTTCACAGTCAGGAAACCTGGGGCACACAATCTCTCACCAGCTTCCTCCGAGCGTTCTCAAATCTCATTATGGGCAAAGTTCAAAGTTATGCATTTGCGTTTTATACATCAGAATTCTAATCTAACATCCAGACTATGTTTCACTCACATCAAGGAAGTTTTACATCCAGAAATTTTACACTGTCAAGTAAGGTGATGAAATATGTGTTTGGGGGCTGGGAAGGTGTCTTGGGTTAGAGTTAGGTTAGATAGGGGATCCTCTGGCCCTGTAGATGTTGGACCACAGCTCCCATAAATTCTGACTATTGGCTACATTTAGTGGGGCCAATGGGAGTTGGAGTCCCTACAGTAGTTAGAGGGCTGCAGGTTGTCTATTCTTGCACTAAGTCCAAAGTCCCTTAATCTACATCAGAGATGTAGGATTGGACCTTTTATCTACCCTAGCTTGGTATTGGCATATCAGGTGCAACCAAAACTTATCTGTGCATCAAACTGCCTGTGCTTCCAGGCAGGTTTACCATGTGGCTCATTTATATATTTTTATGGGAGGGTCCCAATGAAGCCATCTTCATTTTGTAGCCCTCCTGTGTTTTGCAGTCATGCTTTTCTTACCGGAAAAACAATCCACTGGCAAGGAAAGGATGGAATAGCTGCATTCTGTGACTAACATTTGGGCTGCAGTCCTCTGCCCGTGAACCAAGGAGTAAGTCCCATAGGAACCAGTGGGACTTGTTGCTGAGTAGACCAGTGTAGGATTGCACTGTTGACCTCTTCATTCATTTTGTACAGATTTTGCACTGTTGTCCAAACAGTTATCTGCCCTTCTATAATTTTTCAACTTAGACTTCAAGCAATCTTTGGAATAACTGTTCAGTCTAATATTAGTTTGCCATCAACATTTCATCCAAATTAATTCAACAGTGTGGTTCGAAGGGCAAGTATGTGCTGTTAAGGAAAGGGTGTTAGTCTTTTTGTCTGGCCCCTCAGTTTTAGAGTCAATTGTAATTGGGCATGGATAGATCTGAATTCATCTTGGCACAAAAACATAAAAACCGGTCAACTAACAAGTCCCCCCTCATGTAGCCTCAAAACTTGGGACATCTCTCGGTAGATTTGGCTTTCTCCTCCCCTAATATACTTCAGCTTATTCTTATGTGGGGTGCTGAGAGACCCCCATGATCAAGCCCAAAGCTGCATCATTCGCCACTGCTGCTGCAGCAGCATCCACCCTCAAGGCATATGAAGGGGTCATTTTTTCAGCAATGTAGGCAGATATATTACAGGTGTGGCTAACTTTGGAGGAATGGTTGTCTGCAGTAGTCAAAAGTTAGAAGCAACATATTAATTGCTTAGGATGCCAGGGTCAAGAGGAGTTGGCGCATTTCAGCTGTCTGGTTTCCACCAGTCCCTGAAGACAGAGGACCACTCACCAAACCTCTGCTTTGTTTCCAGGACTCCATTCCAGCATCTACCTTACTCACTGGGGATGCCTCTGACACCACCTCCATTTCCTTAGCCCAAAGATTAGGTAAGAGGGAGAGAGAGTGAGAGACTGTGTGTTTTGAGTGTGTGTTTCGACCCAGGCTGAAGAACCACTTCAGCCTATACCCTGAATTCAATTTGGAGAAGCTTTCATGAGGCTACACTCTATTGCTGGGAAGAGCAAAAGGCCAGGCAGGCCAAACTGCCAGTATATTTTAGCTAGGAGCTCTTGCAGAATGAGGCAGAGGTGATGAACAGATGAAAACACCAAATGCGTGGCGGGAAAGGGGTGGGTTCCTTGGGAAAAGCTAGAGTGAGACTCTCTCTGGGCCAGATTTGTCCCCCTGCGGCAGAGTTTCTGCATCACTCTCTAAATGTTTTGACCCTCCAGATGGAAACACTCCGCTGAAAGTAAAAGCCTTTGAGGGCACCTTTCAGCATTACTTTCTGTAACTCCCCAAGCCCAGATGCACCACAAACATCTTGTGAGTACAGTTGCCTTGCCCCACCAAAATGAAAGACAGCTATTCTGACCATTTATCTTTTGCTTCTTCTCTCTTGGAGGAAGGGTTGAGGCACAGCTGTGATGTATCCTGGCAGTGCCTCACCTCTCCCCTCCCTGCCTCTGAAGCGGTTGCTGTGTCAGGCAACACAGAGAGAAACACACTGGCTGCGAGGATGAAGGACAACTGCAGTTCACTTTCCAGTCCTGACCCCAGACACGTTTCTGAGGTCCGAGTTGGGATTCCAGCCTATTTCGTGGCTGACCAGACAGTGTCTAGCAGCCACGGGATTGTGCTCAAAAACATTTTTAATGTTGAAGGATTCCTAGAGTATAAGATTTATCATTTACCCGGATGCCAATAAGGTGTCCATCCCACAGTTGCTAAGCAGTTCCTATAAAGATCCTGTGGACGGTGAATTGGGAATACGTATTTCATTACTTCATTTGCTGTTTAACATCCTGTGTGTCTTTCCTAGAAGGTTGATGACCATCTTTTTTGTTTATGTTTTAGCCAGCAAGACTAAAAAACAGATTTTTGTCAGCTATAATATCCAAAATAAAGACAGCAGTTTCATACTACTGGTAGAAAACCGAATCAAGGAGGAAATGACAACTTTTCCAGAAAAGTTTTAGCTCAGCCTGTTGTTGATTTCTGTATTTTTGTTTGTATGTCCATTTTTTTTCTTTTTTAAAAATAAAGTATGAGATTCCATTTTTTTCTATCTCTGTGTGGGATATTTTGGACAGCAAAATGCATTCAGTTATTGTTCTTGTTTTTATTCTTATTCTCCATTTCATTTCTATACCGCCTTACAGCCAAAGCTCAGTTGACAACAAATCAGTTCAGATCAGATTCTTTGAATTAGTCAGTTGCAAGGAAGAGAATAAATATATGAACTGAAGCTGCAGTTCAAATGCATATTCCATAGCTATTTTGTCTTCCTTCCTAAATGATTTTTTGTGGTAAGGAAATGGGTGGAACACATATTGATTGGGAAGGCACAGGACTGCACAAATTAATTCCAAGCATTTTGACTATTGGTTATGTTAGCAGGGTTTGATGGGAGTAGTTGTCCAGAATGTTAGGACACCAGGTAGGGGAAAGCACTGTAGAGTATTTTGTTGTTAGTCGCAAAGTCGTGTCCGATCCATCGTGACCCCACGGACAACATTCCTCCAGCCTTCCTGTCCTCCATTTCCCGGAGTCCACTTAAGCTCACGCCGACTGCTTCAGTGACTCCATCTAGCCACCTCATCCTCTGCCGTCCCATTCTTCTTTTGCCATCTATTGTTCCCAGCATTAGGCTCTTCTCCAGGGAGTCCTTCCTTCTCATTAGGTGGCCAGAGTATTTGAGTTTCATCTTCAGTATCTGGCCTTCTAAAGAGCAGTCAGGGTTGAACTCCTCTAGGACTGACCGGTTTGATCGCCTTGTGGTCCAAGGGACTCGCAGGAGTCTCCTCCAGCACCACAATTCAAAGACCTCAATCCTTTGGCGCTCAGCCTTCCTTATGGTCCAGCTTTCACAGCCAA